TTATACAAGAAGAATTCAAAGATTTACAGTTGTTTCATTTTCATAACTTATTTGCCAAAAAGTACCAGACTAAAGTAAGCAACAAGCTAGCCTCTTGAAATGCTCTTTTCCACTCTTATTATACATTTCGAAGCCATTAGAAGCTAATCTGACAACATTTTTATGTGACATGGTTGTCAGTAGGAAAAAAAGAAAGGCATGGGAAAGCAGTGGGAAAAGCCTGAATATAAGAGACTTCAATATATTTGGGAACAGCTGCTAAAGAGATATGTGGGTATAGGAAATACACTGCCCTAAAAATCAGGATTTCAATAGATGTTGGACAGCACTTTAAGATATACTGTACGGTGTCTTTACCATTACTATGTTTACAAAGCAAAAGAAGACAGCATCTTGATGAGGCAGATTGCAAATGAAAAGAAAATGACAAAAAGTTGAAAGCTGAAATTCAACTGCAAGTTGAATTAAGAGTCCATCAGCAATTAAGATATTAAAGCTTCATTTCAAGTGGGTAATTAAGGGCCGAAGTAACACCACTGATTTGAAGCAATGGTTCGTGTGTAGCAAAATCATATTGTAAAGACTTATACAGAATTTGAGTTTCAGCACTGACTGAGTACTTCCCTCAGCAAAAGCTAATGACTGACATTGCATGATGTGCAGTGTTAAACATAAAATCACAAAAGCCTTTCCAGTTCTCGCCGCCTTAATACATCTGCTCTCTATTTTGGCTTCTAATTTTTGCAGAACTCTTCACTCTGGTATTATTATTGTTACTACACTGAATTATTTAGTAGCATGGAGGAATTTTCTTAGTTTAGTTACATAGTCTTTGTAGGACGGATCAAAGCACTTGGTTTGCAAATATATCACAAATTGTCATACATTTTGGGTGAACTAACAGTGAGATGTCATCTGTTTCATAATACTGGACTTGCAGAAGTAGTACAGACTTCTGAATAATGCTTAACATGACATGAAAAGCACCAAGAATTTGTGTACCAGGACTCAAATACTTACAGACTTGAAACTGTTGATAACTTCCTACAAAAATAGTGTTTTTAAAATGAAAAGGTTGAATTAAGAAGGTTGTTTGTGCCTTAGTGCTACAAGGTATGTTTTGAAAAGCCACTGAAGGAATTTAGTTGCTCTGGTCTCCAACATTGTTGACAGTGAACACCTCTTTGAAAAATCACTCTGTGTGCTTTGCATATGTTAGAGTCCTCCAGCTCCATAATCTCCCAGACTGTATTGTTATTGCATTTTTGACAGCTGGTTCGCATACCAATAGTGATGTAACCCAGCTGACCTTATATCCCTTGCAGGTCATGCATGATTCTTGCATTTACAGTTTAATAAAGCTAAGAAACAAGACTTGCAGAGAAATACATCCTTCCTTGGGCAAAGCGTGTTGCAGCAGCTCTAAATTGATTTAATGACATAATGAAAACAGCAAAGTATCTCTCTGTGTCAAATTATATTCTTTTATGACAGTAAGTCACCATGTGGATTTTGATTCCTTCTCAGAAGAGAATATCTAGGGAATCACATTCAATGTGGCAGGTAGAAAACGAGTCTTTCTCATTTCAACACTTGCTTGCTTATTTTTACATCATTTTAAGCACATGATTTTGTAATTTCTTCTGCTTCCCATCTCTCAAAACACTGTAACTCTCTAAGTCAAAAATTACTTAACGGAATTGGTCTTGCTGCCTTTTCATGACCCCAAAAATTCCTTTAGATAATCTTCCTCCTCTTTTTTATTTTTTTAATCTTGGTGCTCTATTTTCTGTTGGCTGTTTCCCAAAATTTCCTGTGTTAACGTTGATTAGGTCCTTAGAATGCTGCACAGATTATGTGAAGTCATGTGCAAATGTGTTGGCTTACTTAACTCTAAATAAGAAAGAGAAATTTAAGACTGTGTTGATAGTGATAGTTTCATCTGTGCCTTTGTGCATTAGAAAATATCACAGAAGGCTACATGTGCTCTAGACCAGGTTTTGACTAAACGAGGATTATGGACAGTATGCAAGTGCTTTGTCCCTCTCAGATGCACTCTTTCCAACCTTAAGAACTGTTACCCTTCCACAAGTTTTGCGCTTCTGTCTGCTGTATTATCATGTTTTTATTCATCCGGTTCAATGCCTGGGATAACAGATGTTGAACATCTCAGTAGCACAGCTGGAGCCTGTGAAACAGCCTTTATTTTGAATTGTCTTGACTGTCAGAGTGGAAGGGAGTCGGAAGACTCAAAATAACAGTGACAAAGGATAGTGGAGAGGAGCAAGAGCCACCAGACAACTTCTGACGTCTCAATGCATTGTACTGACATGAGACACTGATGTCTTCATTACCAACAAACTTTCTTCTAAAGTGGAAGTGATATGCCTGCACCGAGTGCAGGAAAGTAGTTTAAATGCCAAAATAATTCAGCAGGCTTTGCCCACTTTATTTTTCCTTAGCTATCTAGTTGTGAAGGTGTAAATATTGTAACCCCAAAGGGATTTTAGGGATCATTAGCGGCATAGAAGCTGAAGATGTGAGTGACGCTTGGCTGAAAGCCTGCAACTGATTGGTAGCCACAAGTGTAGTTTTCAACTACAGAAAAGGAGTGAGATCATCATCATTAGAAAGGAAAAGAAAGATGGAAACAAGATGACTTTTTTCACAGGGAATTCAAAGATTTGTACCTTTGCTTTCAGCTTGTGTTGCTGGAAGAAAGTTTGAAAAGGTAAGGGAAAGAAAATCACAATATCCACAATGAAATTAAAAAATTCCCAGACTAGAAAGATTGAAAGAGCCATGGGTAACACAGTGAAACTTCACTAACCTTCAGTTAATTTGTTCTTATGTTCCTATTAGCGAAGCCAAAAAGATGTTTTTTCAGCAGTATTTATTTCACTAAACTTATAAAGAAAGTATAAATGAGAGCTGGAGGGAGAAAGTAGCTAGTAGTTGACTTCTAGAAATAATTTCCGGGCATAACACAGTCACTTTATGAACTGTTTAAAAAAAAAGTAACCTCCTACCAAAATCACAGTATATAAAATACTTGTCTCCGTGCTGAAAAAAATCCTCACTTTACATTTCATCCTGGAGGGTAAGCTGCTGAAGTCCAACTTTAACCTTCAGTGCACGATAAACAGCTCTCCTTTAAAAAAAAGAGTTAAAATCACTCTAAACCAAAGTACTAGGTACAAGAACAAGAATGAAATAACTTTTTTTTTTTCTTCATGAAACGAGGAAAAATGAAGGAGTGGGGGAGCAAATGAAGTTTTTTGAAGCCATATTAGGGTTTTCCTTATTAGCTTCCTCTAGCTACAGCTCCTCTGTTTTCATGGATTTCACCGGTGAAATTTTTCAAGAAAAACAAAAACGCAACTCCTTTTTCCAAGATACTGGCTGTAAGAAAGACATCCACTACAGCTTTTAACAAAATTAAAAGGGTGTAAAACAATGCAGATGAAGCCTACAGGTCACTTATTAAGCCCTCCAAGGTCAAGCTGTTGCATTTTCCCCTGCCCTGCCTGGTTGGTACCAGTACTGAGAGGGCGGTGAAACCAGCCATACAGCAGGCAGCGAGAGGGTTATGGGGACACAGGGAAGTGGAAGGATGTTTTCTGCACCTAAGAACTCAGTTTTTTGAGGAGGAAATTATGGGTTCTTTTTAGCATGCAATTGGAAAATGAGATGAGGATGTATTTGGATGATAAAATAGCTTTTATTTTTAACTGTAGACATTATTGGGAACATCCAAATGAAAGCACAGTATTGTAAACCATTCTAGAATTTACTAGCAAATTCATAAATGTTCTGAATTAAAGAATGATGGTGCCCCCTTTATGTCTTTGTCTTGCAATTTAATTAAATTGACATCCTTTGGTAGCACTCATTAGGGCATGGTGTAAGTTATTTACTGGGTCCATTCATCATAGCACATGAAGGTGATAACACAACTCCAGAGTCTCAGGAGCATAAAAAAAGTGGTAATACTGGATGATCTTTCTAATTTTTTGATTTCCTGGTTTGAATCATTGAGCTAATTGGGAATCACCAGCATAAGCCGAAGAGCTCCGTCCTGTTAAGGGGGCAAATTGACACCGTGAGCATATTGATACATTTCAGGGCATGTTTTTCCCCGGGCATGTCTTTCCCCAGCCATGCCATGTTATCTCTCATCTACCCAGAAGGATCTGGAAATCCAAGAGGGGAGAGCATCTACTGCCAACTTCTTAGGTTAGAGTGGGAATCATTAAGACACCCTGTCTGGATGTTGCTGCAGACTTTCATCTCCTTTACCTTCTGCCTGACACTGGTGCGATACTGGCGACATGACTGATTCCCTGAGCTATGTACACAGAGTTGTTTCTTGTGCCAGCACTGGGCAAACATTCAGAGCAATTTAAGAAAATTCTTTAGCATAGATGAGATTGAGGCCATTGATAGCTAAACTGTATACGAGCCTCAGCCCTCCAACAGATGTGTATTTGGGTTGATCATCCCCCCTGCAGACCTCACCTATAAAAATGAAACACAGAGATGTCTACATAGACCCTTGCCTAAGCTTTGTAATACTGTCAAGCCAGGGATGTTCATCCCAGTGAGCTGGCTTGTCAGAATGGGCTAAACTTCAGTAATTGATGAGTTTTCATGCCCTGGTGAAAGGAAGCCTTCTAGCAGTAAATTGCATCATTGCCTTAGATGACCATTGGCAGAGGTCTTCACCAAAGCAGCTCTCAAACATAACACATTGTCTCACTGGAATAGAATAGCAGGGCTACCTGCTTCACTGCCTTGACATCAGCTAAAAACTCTGTAACCTCTCCAGCAAATAATAAAAAAAACCCCAACTAAATATCTTTTGAACCTGACTGTGATTTTGTCTCATACAGAAGAAGCCAACTTTATGACATACAAAGCAGTGGGTAATTAATACTGAGTGAGGGGTAAAAGAAAAGGAAAAACAAGGGGAACGTCACACTAAGATAGCAAAAGCTTACCATCTTTGGGAGCAGTTTTGGTCAAAAACCTAAAACATAGAAATAATAAATAAACACTGCAGGTGGGACTGCTGATACTTTGATGTCATAAAGTTTTGTCATGTCTGGAACTGCTAGCATCAGCGCCTACAGTGAAGAGATTGATTTACGTCCAGTGAGTGCACTAGCAACCTAATAATAGCAATATATTTTCCAAATAGGTCACTCTGGAAGAGTTGGCTTTATTATAATTATATACACTGTTGGACCTACTAGTATCTTGAATCACGGGATCACAGGCAGCACTCTCATAAATCACATTGTATTGCTGATTTTATCCATATACCGTGGTTGTAATTTATGTGTCAGTTTATATTTATTCCCCTACTTGACATTATTCTCCAGTTTGAGTTATTTTTTTTTTCCAGTGTTATTTTGACCTTAATAAAGACTGCCTTACTACAAAGTGAATTATTAGTATATGGACCTTTTCAGCAAAGGTTGGTGCTCACAGGAATATGACCCACATTTTTCAGGTACCCCTATCTTTTGAGTTCTCTATTTTCTGAGTTAAACATGAAGGGTAAGCCATACAGTTCAGGTCACATGGCCAAAGCAGTGGCAGGAAAGATGCCTCTGAGGAAGTTCAATCTTTGGGGAATTACTGTCCCCAGAGGTTCAGGGCACAGCCCTTTGTGGGTTTGTCCTCTAAACCAAAGTGGTGCCCACTCCAGCCTTGCTCCCACAAACCTCACTTCCAACCCAAACCATCCTATGATTCTATGATTCTGTGATTCTATGGTTCTATGATTCTATGATTCTATGATTCTATGATTATAAGAGATTGTGTCTAGTATCTCAGACTTTTCTTCTACCTTGAAACTGCCTGAATATATATGCATTGACAACAGTAGGCCAATTATTTTCTCTGGTTGTACCAATAAAGAAAATACATTGATCTCAGAGATTTGTATAATAATTATTGAGAACATTGGAATTTGACCTCACGAGCCTTCATATTGAGAGATTTCCATCTTTACAATGTGAAGGGTTTTTTTAGCTTTTATTAAAACTCCAGCTCTTTTTTTTCCAAAGCTCAAGTTATTTAATATGGATATATTTCTTCATAGAACTACCACACTGTAAATCTGCATTCCACAAAGGCTTAATTCCTAGTACTATATATATTCTGCCTATAAACTCTACTTAGATTTGTTTTATTCTATCAGTTTCACACCTATGATTTTGACATAACTATCTACATAAGATAGAGAGTCTAAGACTGCTGATCCAGAATAAAGAATAGCAAGCTACCAAGTACTTGAATGCAGAAATTGAGGCTAAGCCTCTTGGAAACAGGAACCTAAATTAATCTTGAGCTTGATTTTGGACTTTCTATGCAACACCGGTCAGCAGAGTCATAAAGCAGGACATTCATTTCCACTCCAAAAGTGTGAGAGGATTTAGGATACACAATACCAATTCCATTTTAATAGATGTGATTCTATCTCTGGTCAAAATTTTCATATATGTTCTGCCAAGTTGTTTATTACATAGTTTATCTTCAGAGACAAATATGAGCCTGTCTTTGCACAGGTCTTTTTCATCAATAGTCCCATGATGACCGTCTGATGTGGATGAGCTCCTTTATTGTGTTTACCAAAACATACATCATAACAGTCTCATCATTACTTTCTGAAATCAATTAAAAAATATTTCTAATGATTCCATTCAGCTTTGGATAAAGTCTTAAAAGGAAAATTAAATGATCTTTAGCAAGGTACACAAACTTGAGCTAGAAACACTGAGTAACTCCAGCCGTGTATGCTCAGGAAATAAAGCCATCTACTGTTGGTCGCTGCATCTCATCCTCTGTTCATGACTATTGAAAGAAAAATACACATCTAGCCAATAATGCAGTGATAATTGGTTAGTATGTCCATTTTTTTCTGCTTTAGTGGCATGCGCTACGTATTTGAGGGAAACTGACAGGCATAACATGTTAGATGTCTTATCTGGGTCCACCACAGCCAAGATGCAGTTGGTCAGATTTAGACTTCATTCATGTAAATCAGTCTTACATCACTGATTTATTTGATCTGCTGATTTAAACCATGTGAAAGTCTATCTTAGAAATTGCATGAATGGTTCTGGTTTTCTTTTGTCTTCTTTGAAATGTAGTGTCTGTGGGTAGATTTTGTTTTGTGAAGTACTGCTATAATGGACCACTCATCATGAAGAAAGATGCTACCTCTGTTCTTCATGGAAGAGCGTAGATGCAGACAACCAGAGAACCAGAGAAAAGCTGGCTGTAGGGAGCTGGTTTTTCACACCAACACAGTCTGCATTACCCTCTGATGCACCAGGAGCTTCCCTGCCCTCACCCCTGTAAGGCAGTTCTTTTTCGCTGATCTATGTCAAATACATACTGGGCAGCAAATCTTCATGCTTCCAGAGACTGGCCTTGCTCTGTGCCAAGGCGCATGCTGAGAACTGCTGCTCCCCCGTGGAAGGGGAAGGTGTTCATGACAGCCTGAAACATGGGCTTTGGCCTCAAGAAATAATCCACAAAGCAACTGCAAGGTGAGAAATGCAGCACAGTTTCACATTAGGAAATGTCAGCTCTTCAGCACAAGCCTAATGGCTGTTCTATTAGTTCACATTACTTTCTTAGTCACGATCAGAAGAGCACAGGTTCCCTGTTCAGGGTAGCGCCAAGGACAATAAAATTTTAATCTGGGAAAGAAATTTCTGTACCAGAGAAATAAGCCTGAGTAGTCGAGATGCTGAAAACATTTCCTGATATAGAGTCTGCAACCTTATAATTTGTGTAAGTTACCAATGTTTATCACTCTCTGCATCTCAGTGGAATTCAACACTTTGTTGTGCTGCAAAAAGCCAGCTGGATGTTGGCTGAAATGAAAAAAAAATCTCTATTCTTGTTAAAAGTAAAGGTATCATGAAGAAAAGAGGAAAAATAGCATTGCCATAGTTTGATGGCCTGCAGCTCCGCAGTTTCCTGTGCCAAGCATTGAACTTGCCCCTCCAAACAGCTGAAAACAAAGGTTCAAGAGCAGTGTTTGACCGTATGCTGCCATGTGAGTGCAGGTGCAGGCATAGGCACAGGGTAGAGGAAAAGCATGACAAACCCCTGTTTAACTGTCTTTTGTGAACCTGTGGGTCAGTAGGCTGTATGTAGATGGACAGCAGAGGAAAGAGGGCTGAAAAGCATAGCATGGGAAAGGGGCTGCTGAAAGTTGTTTGATCAGTGACCAGAGGTTTTGTGCAGACTGCACTGATCTTTGCAGATTTAGGATCAGCTGTGTGTTGTAGCATTATCGTTTGCCCTGATCTGTGTGAAAATATGACAGGAAGATAGATCAAACCTGTTCTACTTACTGGTGTTCTTCATACCTATCATCTGGTTTAGGGGGTCCCTCCCTGACCCTGAGTGTGAGTTCTTATGGCATGTGCTCACTCAAGCTCATAGACTTGAGCCTTGTAAGTTCAATTCAGAGTGGGAGGAGGCTGGTCCAAAGCATCATCTCTCTAGACTCCTAACATGGTATTTTTTCTGTGTAAGATCCATCTGTAGTTGCTTTATCATCTGAAGTAAGCATGGAAGGGTCATATTGTAATCTATCTATGGCCCAACCTACCAACAGTCTTTAATCACAAGTTACATCTTTGTTGTCAGTTATCAGTGCTTATCCTAAAATGTTAGATCTCATAGCTAACCTCAGCTCTTACCAAAGGTTCCAAACAGAAAACTGAGAGTGCAACATAATTTATGTGACCACCACTAAGCTCAAAGATGCAGAGAAATTTAGTGCATTCTTCTTTCATACAGAGTCGGCTGCAGTCTTAAAAAATGTGTTGTGAATCTACAACTAACCAGATTAGGAGAGGCACACTCAAAATAAGAGTCAAGAAAGTGAAGCAACTGGACCAAAAGAAACGATGCTAAGCTTTTGTAGCCAAAAGACATAGGAGAGCTATTTGGCAATAAGATTTTTCTTGGCTATACTAGTTATTATATACATTTTTCATTTGAGGTTTTGCATTAATATCCCATTGGTTTGCACACACACTAGGGTTAAGAATGATACAGCTAAGATCTGGGGATATTTTACATTTTCTGGGGAAGAGGGGGAGGGAGAGGACCTGTTCACGCACTGGCTGTAACCAATCAAGTTTTGCATGATGCCAAAAAATTAAACACAGTAAAGCCAGACCCTGTCAGCAATGAGTTGATTGCTTTAAATAAGGGAGATTTCCTGAATGTTTAAATTGGAACTTCTATTATGATTAAAGCAAAGAGAAGTACCAGGATGCTTCCTAACTATTTAGTTCCTAAAATTCCTGTGAGGTCTGGAGATGACAAATTCAATTCTGATGTGCTGTGTTTTACACTCTGCAGGCTGTAGTAAAAGGTAAAACTAATCAAGCTTGGGTTTCCCATGGGCTGTACTTTAAGATGTTTTCTTATTTAAAGTCTTGGAAATATGTTAAAACCCACGTAGACTGGGTGAAGTTTATACAAGGCAAAATGTATTCGACCATGCTTTGCACAGTGTGCATATTTTGACTTTTCATTATTTTTTGTTTGTTTAATTCTTCATCCTGCTTAAAATTGTATTCCAACTTAAAATTGTATTCCAACTACGTTTGCAGACTGAAGATGGGGAAGAACAGTTTATAGCTCCCTCAAAATGTTGCTTAGGACTGTTTAGAGCAGAGGATACCTTGGTAGTGAATTGAACTTCTTCTGTAAGATGTTAAATGCAGGAGAGAGAGTAGGCACATATTCAACAGAAAACTTTCAATTACAAGTCATGAAATATTCATGCTGCTTATACTCTTTTTAGAAGAAACAAAATTTTATACCTAAGCCTATATTGTAAGGGAACATTTAAGTTCAGCTACAGCAATCCTTCACTGTTTCAAGCTCCACAAAATGAATAGTTAGATGGAATATGCCTAATTAATCATCACATGTACACAATCAACATTTTACATAGCGGGGAAAATTATGGAAATGAGCCTTTTCAGAAGATCCATCTCCATCAGAAATTACTTCTGACCTATGAATGTACTCCTCAAATACTTATTTTTGAAATGATAATTTTTAAATTTCCTGAATGAAA